TCGCTTAATTTTCAGAAAAGTTACTTAAGAGAGTAAATTAGTATCTTTACATACCAAAAATAGTGCAAGTCTTGGCATTATTTTGTATTACATATTATTATTTCATGTTTATTAAATCTAGAAAACGTCTTCAAATCGGAGGACTGCTACTAGGAGTGCGTTGCTAGAGATATATACTTTTTACAACTCTTTCGCCCCCCTCTTCCCAAATTTAGCATGCTACAGAACCGCAAAACTTTTCGTAAAAGTTGTCTGTGCAGTCGAAGAATAAGTTGCCGCCACGCCCAGTTATACTCTCATTATCTTGGCATGTAATTCCCAGCCCTTCCCCGCTGCCCTGCGAATATCCCCACATGTGTGTCAGTTTTGTCGCTCGCGGACAATGGCAGAAGTTTCTGTTTCGGCTCGATAAAGTATCTGTTAGATACAATTTACAATATTTTCCGCTCCGCATCGTCCTGCTCCTGCTGCTGCTCGCCAAGCGAAAGTTTCGGCAGCAAAGTATGGCTTTAATGATAATGACTTTAGCTTCGGCAGAAAGTAGCGCAAAGTTTAGAATACGCCAACGCAACGCTTTTGGGGATTTCGCCGGAGAACTCCAAGTGTTCTTGGTTTGAAGAAGTTTTCCCCTCGTCCACATACGCGAAATAGAAAGAGTTTGGTGGGTTGGGTGTGCTAACTTTTCCTACGTGTTGGCCGCATGAAAATGATAAGGAAAGGCAGCTAAGTGGGACAAGGCCAGGCTGTCTAATATGGAATTTGAATGGGATGTAATTTGATATCAATGATGCTGTAGTTGTAGCTTTAGTTGAAGCTAGTTAGCTAGGCCTGGAACTAGACTACCTTTAGGGCCTGCAGATCGTGTCCCAGCATTGCCAGCGATTTACTTTTATCACAATCGCCGCAACAACTTCGGACAATGTCGGCGATTTATTGCATCAGCTCCAACTAACAACACGGCGACCGACAGACACTTGGTTACGTTGTAATCGGCCAGAGCGGCAGATACAGATACCCGGCCACAACAACAACAAACAAGCATCCTCAGCAGCCCGTAGCTACCAAAAACCCAATTGCCCGTTCTCATTCCCCATCCCGATTCCGATCCCTTGGATCTCATCAACGCGACTAATCTGCACTGTGAGAAACTCGCTGATTCGGTTAGCTAGGTGAAGGTGCTAACTAACCATTGCTTAACCATTAAAAAATATGTATTTAAAAGCAAAAGCAAAACCATGCATAGTTAAACATTTTTATTTATTTCCAATACCAATTTTTCAAATAGAACCATTTATTAAGAAGGTTTGAGCAATTAATGGAATTCATTTACTTCATAAATATCCTTATCTCCCTCGCACTTGCTTTAGCTGAGTAATGCGTTTCTGATAGTTTCTTAATATTACCATTTGCAGTAACCAATCTATAGATGTTAGAAATAAAGGTTTTATAAATTCTGAAAGCTAGAAGCAAGATCATTTCACAAAAAATCGATATGGCTATGCTTTTGCCCCAGTGTATCTGCAGTTGCTGTTGTCAACTTCTTTGTTGTCGTCGTCGTCATCTCCTCCTCATCAACATCAGTGGACCGCAACCAAAGTCTTCTCCCAGCCGCGGCCAAAGTTTCGACTGCAGTCCCAGGCTGTTAAGAGTTCAACTCGTGATGTTTAAGTGGTTTAAGCCAAGGTAACGATTTCCTCATTGGTCTACAATTCTCCAGTTCAGCTCGCTTTTGCTGTTGTTGCCGGCGACATTCTGTCATGCCACGATCACGAACCATTCGTAACACATTTGTTGCAATTTTCGTCGCTATTTGTTAAGGTTCAGAGGAGGTTGCAACTAGCAACTTGCAACCAAAGGGACACTAGTCGTTGTAAAATATGTACTAAACGGCAGGATAAAACGGTTGAATGCGAAGTGCCTGCAACTTTAGGATCATTTTGCTGGCACTTGAATCTTAGTATAATTATTTACAAGCAATATCGTAGGTCTTTTTCGCATTGTTAAAGTAATAAAAAAGTTACCACATATTTTTGTTTGTGTTTCTCAAAATAAAAGGATACGGCTTTCTGGTTCGCTAAAGTCGTAAAAATGTTAAATTCTTTAAAATGTTTGGCATGCCCAATTAAATTATACACCTGTTATAACACCATATTTCTCATTTATATAAATAGGGGGATAGATTGTGATATAGCGACAACAATGAAGTTCCAACTATTACTAGTACTCGTAGCGGCCCTCGTGTCCCTGGCCCAAGGAGGAGGAATGGAAGTTTGGGTTCGACCAGATCAAGTCTATGGTGGAGGAGGTGGAGGTGGAGGTGGGCAATGGGGTTGAATACGTGCCAGCAATCAGCCTTTACAATAAATACTTACAATAAAGTTGGTACGATACATTATTTTCTTACTGTATGTATTAAAAATGGCTTTCTTATTCAAGAATGTTTTATTCTAACTATTTCTAACAATTGGAATTCTAACTGTTGGAATTAGTTATTCGGAGCCCATTATGAAAATCGGGAATGAACGGTGTTAATGGCCGCCAGCTTAAGCGTACTCGCATTAAATTCACTTCCGTTAGAGGAGCAACGTCTTCCGCTTTAGAAGGAGATGTCAACGGTGGGGATAACAGGTGTAAACTGTGACGCCGCCGACGGGCGACATCGGAACTAATTTGCAACTGGCAACCAAAGGGACACTCGTCGTTGTAAAATATGTACTAAACGGCAGGATAAAACGGTTGAATGCGAAGTGTCTGCACCTTTAGGATCATTTTGCCGGCACTTGATTCTTAGTATAATTATTTACAAGCAATATCATAGGTCTTTTTCGCATTGCAAAATTAATAAAAAAGTTACCACATATTTTTGTTTGTGTATCTCAAAATAAAAGGATACGGCTTTCTGGTTCGCTAAAGTCCAAGACATTTTACAATATTTAGCTTAAAAGGAAGAAAGTCCTTGGTTTCGTAAAAATGTTAAATTCTTTAAAATGTTTGGCGTGCCCAATTAAATTATACACCTGTTATAACACCATATTTCTCATTTATATAAATAGGGGGATAGATTGGGATATAGCGACAACAATGAAGTTCCAACTATTACTAGTACTCGTAGCGGCCCTCGTGTCCCTGGCCCAAGGAGGAGGAATGGAAGTTTGGGTTCGACCAGATCAAGTCGGTGGAGGAGGTGGAGGTGGCCAATGTCCATGGGGGGGTTGCGGTTGAATACGTGCCACAAATCAGCCTTTACAATAAATACTTACAATAAAGTTGCATAGGCAAAGAACACATCAATAAAATGGTGGGATACATTATTTTCTTACTGTATGTATTAAAAAATGGCTTTCTTAATGATGAATGTTTTATTCTAACTATTTCTAACTATTGGAATTCTAACTGTTGGAATTAATTGTTCGGAGCCCATTATAAAAATCGGTATCGAACGGTGTTAATGGCCGCCAGCTTGTACTCGCATTAAATTCACTTCCGTTAGAGGAGCAACGTCTTCCGCTTTAGAAGGAGATGCCAAAGGTGGGGATTACAGGTGTAAACTGTGACGCCGCCGACGGGCGACATCGGAACTAATTTGCAACTAGCAACTTGCAACAAAATATGTACTAAGCGGCAGGATGAAATGGTTGAATGCGAAGTGTCTGGCACTTGAATTTTAATATAATTATTTACAAGCAATAGCATAAGCCATTTTCTCATTGTAAAAGTAAGAAACAAATAAAATGACACGGCCTTACGCTTCTCTCATGTCCAAGACATTTCAGTTTGAAAGGCAGAAAGTCCTCGGTTTCGTTAGTATGTCAAATTCTTTAAAATGCTTGGCGTGTCCAATTAAATTATACACTTGTTACAACACCATATTTCTCAATTATATAAATAGTTGGAACTTTAATATCAGAGTCTATTGATATAGCGACCACAATGAAGTTACAACTACTTCTAGTTTTCGTAGCGGTCCTCATTTGCCTGGCCGAAGGAAGAAGAGGAAAGCGGGAGATCGAAGTTTGGGTTCGACCAGATCAAGTCAGTGGTGGAGGAGGCGGCAACCAGCAATGCCCATGGGGTGGTTGCAACGGATAAACTATTTTCCAAATGTATGTGTATAAAAAAGGGCTTTCTCAGTAGAGAATTCTAACTATTTCTAAGTACCAGGAAGGTATAACCTTCCCTAACTGTTAGAATTAATTATTCCGAGATATAAACCCATTATACTAATCGACAACGAACGGTGTTAATGGCCGCCTGCTTAAGCGGTTGTCCAAATTGCACTCGCATTAAATTCACTTCCGTTGGAGGAGCACCGACTTCCGCTTTAGAGCGAGATGCCAAAGGGGCAGGTGGGGATAACAGGTGTAAACTGTGACGCCGCCGACGGGCGACACATTTGGCAGCTATTCAAGTGTGATAACAACAATGTGCCAAGCCCGATAGAAAGGGACACGGCGAAGGATAACAAAGCGAGCGAGCGGGACGGGGTGAGGAGGAGTAAATCAAATTGAATAATTGTTACATGCCGAGCGAGGGAGATGGCCAGATGGGGAGAAAGAGACAGCTGGCAGGGCCATATGATCGAGGCGGCAGCAGCAGCAAAAACAAACGCAGCCTAACAAGCCTAGGCAACAATAACAATAACACTGAAAGGACATTCGCCCATACAATGGTCCTTTGCACTGAAAGAAATTAATATTTTGTATTGCTTTATTTCATTTAAAGCTCTATTGGATTGGCTATTTGCTCTCTAAAGCCATACACATAATTATTTTATGAAATGGAGAAAAGATATCTCCTTCAACGCATGAAATGAAAAATAGTACATTTTTCTCAGTGCTTCATTCCATTCCGCTGCGATGAGAAGCGCTGCTATGCGACTTCAATTCAATCAATTGAACGTGCCACGAATGGTTAGCAATAACAAAATACACTCCAGTGGTCTGAGTGGGTGGCGATGGGAAGGCAAGGGGCGCGAACGAGGACCAAGGACCAAGGATACC